AAAAATGTAAAAACCAGAGTTTTCATGTTTGTTTTAAAATTGCAGTGGTATCCCAAGCAGCAGTGAGATATTCTGAAACAGTGCTATTTGGTATAACTTTCTGAGATGATAGAAATGTTCTTTTTGTTGTACAATTGAGTAACCACTAGCTACATGTTCTTTGAATACCTGAAATGTAGCTGGTGTGACTGAAAAACTACATTTTTAATTTTAATTAATTTAAATTTAAACTTAAATACCACAAGTGCCTAGTAGCTACTTTGTTAGACAGTAAAGTATTACTATTAGATTAGTATTAGTAATAGATCTAGAATTTGGCAAACTTTTTGTGTAAAGGACCAGATAGTGAATGTTTTAAGCTTTGTAAGTCATATAGTCTGTGTTGCAACTACTCAACTTTGCTGTTGGACTATGAAAGCAGCACTGGACAATATGTAAGTGATTGGGTTTGTCTGTATTTACAATAGACCTTTATTTATGGGCAATGATATAGAACTTTAAATAGTTTTCAAGTAGCACAAAAACAATATTCTCATTTTTCTAACCACTTAAAAATATAAAAAACCATTCTTAATTCACAGGCCACACAAAGACAAGTGGTAAATTGTAGTTTGCAGAACCTTACTCTAGAGTGTTCATAAGGATTAAGAGATGTAAAAATACATGTCCATTATGAGTAGGCACTATTTTGGGAGTTAAAGACACAGCAAAATAGCAAGAAAAAAATGCACATAACATCTCTGTTCTCATGGACCTTATATTCTGGTGTTGGGAGGCAAATAAAAACAAAAATGGCCAAAAATATGTCAGGTGTTGATAATAAGTAAATTTATGAAGAAAAATAAAGCAAGGTAAGAGAAAACAAAGTGACAATGGAGGGTGACATTTTATTGAGGGTAGTTATGTAAAGCTTATTTGGTAAGGTGACTTTTGAGCATACAACACCTGAATGAAGATAGGAAGTGGCCAGGTAGCTAGCTGGGGGAAGAACATTCGGTTCAGAGGGGAAGGTAAGTACAAAAGTCCTGAGGCAGGAGCATGCTTTGCCTATTCAAGTAACAGGAGAGTTATAGACAATATTGTTTTTCAATGAAATTAACCTACTTTGAAATTCTTCCATCATCTGTACCGGATATGTATAAACATCAGTAAAGAAAACTGTATTTCTGTCAAAAGCAATATATGGTCCCTTCTTTCTTAGTTTTCTAGAATGTTCTTTTAAATATTTTAAAGCTATGTTGACTGCCAACACATTGAAAAACACCAGTATATTCCACTAAATGGAAATTTTTTGAGCTTTTTTTAAACTGAAATATAAGAAATTACAAAACGGTCCATTAAAAATGGAAAAGTTTTGGACATATTTAACAGTTGGGAATTCCTTTACCATCTACCTATGACTTCATGTTTTTATAAAGACCTTAGTTTCAGGGGGCGAAAGTGTACTTCAATCTATTTTGTCCTTGTGTTTTAAGTATTTTTTTTAGCACCTAAGAAGAACATCCATGCTTCTGATTATGCATGGTTTAATGTCTCCTTAAAATTCTGAATGCTAAGAGTCAGAATCTTCTCTTAGAAATTACTCAGTTATTTCTAATGTTATTATTTACAGCACACAAAGGCCTCTTGAAAAAATATTGAGAGTTATTTAAATGTCATTGTCAGAGGGTTTAAAAGGTTCAGGGGACCAGGACCTTTTTCCTTTAGGTCACCAAATCAAAAGCCATCTTTGTAGCAACTAGAAGATGTTTTCACATGAAGGTTGCTCATGTGAAACCTTTGAACTAGGTTTCTTTCCTTTTTTTTCTGTTAAGAATCCCTTTAGTATGCAATTAAAAGTTTCACAACACTATCAAACTTATAGAAAAGTTGCAATACTGTACAAAAAAAACCCTGTTTTTTCTGGAAATTTTGAGAGTAAGTTGCTGATATGATACCCTTGAATACTTTAGTATGTATGTTCCACCTTCTACAAAACAACTATCAAAATCAGGAAATTAACATAGATATATTACTACTATTTAATCTTTGGACCCCATTCAGATTTTTCCTATTGTTTCTCTAATGTCCTTTACTACAAGAGTATTCAACTCTGTATTTAGTTGTCATAACTCTTCACTCTCTTTCAGCCTGAAACAGTTCCTCAGTTTTTCGTGACCTTAACACTTTTGAGGATTACAAGCCAGTTATTTTGTAAACTGTCCCCCAATTAGAGTTCAGTTTGTTTTTCCATGGTTAGATTCATGTTATGCATATTTCGTGGAATATCACATGTAGTGAAGGCCTGGGGTGGGGCAAGTGGGAGTGAAATAGAACGAGTCAGTGGGGAAGAGGGGGGAGGGGATATCTGTAACACTCTCAACAATAAATATATATTTCTTAAAGAATGAGATAGGCTGAGGGTTAGGGTTAGGGGGTGTGCAGGAGGCAGCCAATCAATGATTCTCTCTCCTCATTGATGTTTCTATCTCTCTTATCCTCCTGGCTGGGCTTGACAGAGGACCTCAGGCCATGCCCCCCATCCTGGCGCCAGGCCAGGGGATCTGAGGCTACACCCCCTGCCTGGGCCTGGCAGGGCTTGACAAGGATGGGACTGGTTGGGTCTGGGTCAATTGGGATTGGGTGAGACGGCCCTGATTGCTGCCCAGGCCAAGGGGCCCCACCTGTGCATGAATTTGTGCACTGGGCCTCTAATATATCAGTGAAAATATTCAATCTGAACAACAGAGATAAAAAATATTGAGGGGGAAAAAAGAATAGAGTCTGAGGGAACTGTGGGGAAATAGGAAAAAGTCTAACATATATATGCAATTGGAATCCTTAAAGGAAAGGAGCAAGAGAATGGAGGAGGAAAATTTTTAGAAATGATGTCCAAAATTTCCTCAAGTTTGGTGAAAAACATAATTTTACAGATAATTTCAATGAACCCAAGTGGGATAAATTCACATAAAATCTATCTGAGCACATCAAGCCAAAAATAAAGAGAAAAAAGAGAAAATCTTGAAAGTATTCAAGAAAAAGAATCTATACTAATAAAACCGGGAGACCTTCCGGACAAAGCCATGGTGGCAAGGCCGAGGCAGAGGCAGTTAGGGGCAATCAGGCTGGCAGGAGAGGGCAGTTGGGGGCGATCAGGCCAGCAGGGGAGAGCAGTTGGAGGTGAGCAGGCTGGCAGGGGGCTGTTGGGGGATAATCAGGCTGGCAGAGGGGGCAGTTGGGGTGAGTAGGCCAGCTTGGGGGTTAGTTGGGGGCAATCAGGATGTGGGGGGGAAGTTGGGGGTGATCAGGCCAGCAGGCAGAGTTGTTGGGGCAATCAGGCAGGCAGGTGAGCGGTTAGGAGCCAGCCATCCCAGATTGCAAGAGGGATGTCCAACTGCTGGTTTAGGCCCAATCCCACAAGAGTCCCAGATTGGAGAGGGTGCAGGCTGGACTGAGGGATAATCCCTTCCCTCCACACACGAGTTTCATGCACAGGGCCTATATAATAAAAGTGTATTATGCAAATAGACTGAACAGCAGAACAACCGAACAACCAATCAAAGCGTAATATGCAAATGATATGCGAAGGCTGCTCAACTGCTCACTATGATATGCACTGACCACCAGGGGGTAGAAGCTCTGACCGGTAGGTTAGCTTGCTGCTGGAGTCTGGCTGATCAGGACAGATGGGCCGGACACGCCCTGGAGCCCTCCCAAGGTTCCTCCCCAGCCTGATCATGAACCGGTGGGGTCCCTCAACCTGGCCTGCACCCGCTCACAATCCAGAACCCTTTGGGGGATGTCAGAGAGCCGGTTTCAGCCTATCACGCAGGCCACTTCCTTTGGGAGGGCACCAGATGCAGGGCGAGCCTCTCCCATTTGGGACTGATGGGGCATGAACTCATGGCAGGCACAGTAGGACTGGGATGAGTGGGTAGGAGCTGTAAGTGGTGTTGGACTGCAGATTTCAGCCCGATCCTGCAGGCCACCCAGAGGATGGGTTCATAAATGTGTGCACTGGACCTCTAGTAATATGTAAATGTTATCACTAATTTATCAGAAACAGTAGAGGATAGAAGACAGTAGAATGCCATTTTTTAAAGTGCTAAATGAGAACCCAGAATTCGATATCAAGTAAGAATATTCTTTAGAATTGAAGCCAAAATAAAAATATTTCCAAATAAATTAAAACTAAGTTGTCATTCAGGCAGTGGCACCACTAAAAATGCGAAAGGAAATTTTTTTTATTACTTTTTAAAATATATTTTTATTGGTTTCAGAGAAGAAGGGAGAGGGAGAGAGAGATAGAAACATCAATGAGAGAGAATCATTGATTGGTTGTCTCCTGCTCACCCACAAATGCAACTTGGGCACACGTCCTTGACTGGAATCCAACCCTTTAGTCTGGAATCCAACCCTTTAGTCTGTAGGCCAGTGCTTTATCCACTGAACCAAACCGGTGAGGGCTAAAGGAAGTTTTTTAGACTGAGTTCCACAGATGGGAGCTCATGTCTTCATGAAAAAAAAAAAAAAAGCACCAGACATATGAAGAATGTGGGTAAATACAAAGCACTAATTTTTCTTCTTAATCTCTCTCTTTTTAAAAGACAATGTAGCAAGTTCTTTCCTTCTTTTTAAAATAAATTATTTTAGAGAGGAAGGAAGGGAGAGAGAAAGAGAGAAACATCAATGGATTGCCTCCCTCATGTGCCCAACCTGCAAGCTAGATACGCGCCCTGACTGGAAATCACACCCACTACCTCCAGTCACCTGAGCCACGCCAGCCAGGGCTCTTCCTAATCTCTGTAAAGTACAATTGCTGTGTAGCTAACGCCTTTTAGACTCCTAGAGGCACTTTTTAAGGAGGATATAGAGAAATAAAATTCTGGGTTGACAGCGCTCTGAAGAGGAAATCTACTGCTAAAGCTTCCAAAATGGTATCCTTATTAATTTTTGGGATTCTCAAATCTGAAAAAAAAAAAATCTCTAGCAGCTAATATTTATTATATATACTTTTTCAGATATAAAACCAAATGTGGAACTGAAAAGCAGTCAGGAGCAGTCTGTGCCTACAGGTAAAGTAGCATCAGTTTTTTCCTGTCTAGAAATAGAACTTTACTGAAATTACCAAAGAAAGAGGAACAGTCTGATTGCAGTAAAAATGCTATGGAAATGTGTTGAGGAAGAAAAATATGGTTGTCTCTTCCTGTTACAAAAACAGCTCATCAATTTAGATAATATAAGTTCTTTGGTATTTTAGGACCAAACCATACCCCACCTACTGATTCGCTTGAAAAAAGACAGTTTTTGTTGAGTAATATAGTAGCTTCTATTTGAACAACTTGAGCTTTTCACTCTAGAACACTGATCAGCAAACTTTTTTTGTAAAGGGCAGATAATAAATACTTTAGATTTTCTGGACCACATCTGGCCTCTATTGCAGAAACCTCTTTATATTTTTTACAACCCTTTAAAAATGTAAAAGCCATTCTACCTCCTGAGCCCATACAAAAACAGGCCATGGTTAGATTTGGCCCTTGGGCCATAGTTTGCTGATCCCTGCTTCAGAATGAACTTTAAACATTTAAAATAATTTATTTTCCCCAAATAACTCCTATGTTTTCTGTGTTGATTAACTCACTTTTTAAATCAAAGCTTATGTTGCATTAAAAAATTTATCACTTAAATGCTTTTTTGTGTTACTGTGAGTTGGCCCCAACTTTCCTGTGAGTGTTCTTTTTTAGGGTGAGTTTTGATCCTGTTTATCACATTTGTTTTCATGTAGGAATTTTGTTATTTGCTGGGCTGATTCTTTTTTTCTTTTGATATATTTTTATTGATTTTAGAGAGGAAGAGAGAAACATCACTGATGAGAATCATTGATTGGCTGCCTCCTGCACGCCCCCTACTGGGGATTAAGCTCTCAACCTGGGCATGTGCCCTGACCTGGAATTGACCTCCAGTTCATAGGTTGATGCTCAACAATTAAACCACACTGTTCTGGCTCCACATAATTACATTTATAATGTGAACAGAAAAGGAAAATAGGAAGCTTAAAGCATCTTTCCAAAATTGGGTTATATTAATATTTTCAGGCTAAATATTTCGCATCACTATGTATCAATACTTATTGGTCATAAATAGCAATAACATCCTACCAGATATTGTGAGATATCCCAAAGGAGAGAGAATTTCTATAAAGAAAGAACCTGAGTTCATTTTAACTCAGGTGAAAGAAATATTCAAGAAAATCATGTTTAATGGAAAAGTGCATGAACCCTAGATACATTTCTAAACCTCAAGAGTTTTCACATATATCACTTAGAGTATGTGTGAAAGGGATACTATCACTAAGAATTTGTGTGAAGCTGAGATGAGAATCTTGTTTCATGTTTACATGTTTATAAAAAATTGTTTAAGTTGACTGCATAGTTAAAATTCTTTTTATCTCCTAGAAGGTCCAGTGATTTTAAATGACTACAATTTAACCAAACCTCATGAGACAGAAAATGTGGACAGTGCAGAATGCCCAACCAATGAAGATGAAGATATGGAAGGTGAGCCATGGTGTACAGACAACTAATGGTTGTAGATATGGTTAAGACTTAATATAAAGAAAAAATGAGGAATTCTCCAAGGAAAACTTGTATATGTGCATTGATTTAGTTTACAAATATTTGCATTTAATAATTTGCTATATAGGTTATCAGCAATTTTTGAGAATTTTAAGTTTTTAGTATTCGTTATACTAACTTTTTAAAATGTTGCCTTTACTCCTTTTTACTATAAAAACAATACATGTTCATTATAGAAAGATTTGTCTGGAGTGTTTTCCAACACCAGCAACCAATTCTTCAAATCTTAGACACCAACTGGGAAACCAACAATTCAATTATCATACTAACTCCTGGAGTTAATGCTGAACCCCCAAATTAAGGGATCAGTTTCACAGCACTGCTCTGACTTCAGACACGAGTTGTAAGTACCAGGTCCCCTGGTTACCTGCACTAATTCCAATTGGCTACCAAGTCAGGGTTTTTCACAAACCTCCCTCAGGTTTGATAAGTCGCTAGAATGACTCCCAGAACTTAAGAAAGCACCTTTCTTACTACAGCCAGTTTATTATAAAGGACATAACACAGGAACAGGCAAATGGAAGAGATGCTAAAGCAGGATATGGTGTGAGAGTTTCCATGCCCTCAGGGCATAACACTCCCACAACTTTGATGTGTTCACCAACCCAGAAGCTCCCTGAATCTCATTGTTCAATAGTTTTTATAGTGCTCAATCTATAGTCCCTTCTACTCTTGCTGGTGGTTGGTGGATGGGGCTGAAAGTTCCAATTTTCTAGTCACTTGGTCTTTCTAGTGACTACCCCATACTGAGGCAATTTAGGGTCTCCACCCTAAGTCACCTCAGTAGCATAAACTCAGGTGTGAGTGAAAGGGATTTGTTAGGAATAATAAAATATACTATCACACAGAAAATTGTAAGGGTTTTAGTAATTCTGTGCTAGGAATCTGAGACTAAGACCAAATATATTTTTGTATTATACCACAGGACACCCTCTGGTGTTTGACAATGAATCTCTTATAGCAAAAGGATCATAAAGGTCAAGAGATCCTGGTATAGGGAAGGAAGAAACTTGCCTCTAGCCTTCAGGGTTCTTTCAGCTCTTCTAATAATTAAACCTGCAGGAGGCAGGTTAACCAGAGAAAATAACCAAATCTAATTACTTTCACCTGTATGGGGAACCCACATACATGAGATTGTCAGAGATCTCACATTATGAGAGGTTCAGAGACAAAAAGGGAAAATGAGGTATATATGACATTCTGGATGAGGTAAGATACCTCAGCACTTCAGGAGATCTTAAAAAATCAGTGTTCCAGTTGTCAGTTCCAATTCTCTATGAAAATATTATTATGAGCATGTTACCTCTCTGCCATTGGTTGACATTATGGGCTAGAAAATGTATGCCTTGGTCTGAAGAAATATGACTTGGCAGTCCAAATTGGTTTAATGGCTCCTGTTTTAGTTCTTTTTTAGTACTCTGACCATTTGCATCTATCACCAGGTAGCTAAGTCTTATCCAGAGTCAATGCTTATTTTGTAAAAAACCCATATGTAGCCCTTTTGGGGCTACTGCCATTGGTTCTTATAATTCACTTGTCAGCTATGTGTCGGGCCTTCTTCCTGAGGAATCTTACCCATAGTCATCTGCAACCTCTGTGTCACTTGTTAAAAGAACAGTTTGGTTGGCATTCTGAGCATCAGAGGGTAAAAAAAGGAATATGTCCAGATTCACCTCTCTTCATTTCTGCGGTCCTCAAATGTCCACTTATTTCATGGACCCAAGTGGCCACCTTAAGCAAGTACATTGCAATATGCACTCATTGGTTCTAGTCACCTTTTCAAAGCTTGAAGAGGGTTCTTCTGATGGGTATTGACATGCCCTACTTAAATGCACCCATCGTATTCCTATAGTGATTTCCATAAGGCAGTGCCCCATATGGGCATCCTTTAATAGACCAAGTTTCTGTTGTCCTTCTGCATAGCCATATGGCCAGACAATTGGCCAGGCTATTGGCCTTGACCCATGAGTCCTCCTGTTCATAGGTTGATGCTCAACAACTGAGCCACATCAGTCAGGCTGTCTATGTATTTCTTAAAGGAAAAAAGAAAAAAATGTTTCTTGGGATCTTTTGTCTTAGATATTTACGGGATCAAGTAATAGAGTCCTATGTCTAAAACTTCTGAGATTCAAATCACAGCTTCAACTAACATTCCAGCTCTGCCTAGCTATATTTTAATTTGTACTAGTTCTTAACCACAGAGACTGAAAATGCTGCCTGGCACAGGATGTGGTCATTTGTGCTGAGGAAAGGCATATGGTGTTCTACCAGCTTTATGCAATTTTTTGAAGGTGACATCCATGGAGCCACATTCAGAATGAGGCAAATAACTACCTTCCGCTTGTGTTTTTCTGAGTTAGGGCTTCTTAGTTCTAGTAGGTAATGCCATTACTTATATGTTTGAAATGATGGTTTCTATACAACATTTGGTCTGAAAATTTATAATTTATGTTATAATTTGCTCTGGGTTCAGAAATAGCTATGGTTTCTATATTCTCAGATAGTTATGTGTGTATGTGTGGGGAGACAGATTAAATATCCAAAATAAAAAAAAAGCCAAATAATTTCTACTCAACAATAGAAATTTAAAACAAATAATGTAAAAACCTATGTGGTTCATTCAGCACTTCTCTAAGAATCCATACAATAGTTTGCAGTCTCTGAATTAGATCTGCTCCAGAAGTGCTTCCAAGAAGAAAAGAGAGATTCAGCCCCTGTGATCCACTTGTTTTGGGTCATTTTCAACTGCTGTAGCTGCCTTTGCTATTTCTATCACCTTACCTCTAATACATATCAGTGGATTGATGGAATATCTGTGAGTTTTTCTCACTTATTAGAGCTCTGGGAGTGTCATTCAGTAATTGGTATAAACTAGAAGGTATAATCAACCATTCTAAATAATTTGGGAGGGAAAAAATGGTTCTTCTTTCTAAGTCTGATTTAGAAAGAAATAAATATGTTAACTTTAGTGTTGAAAAGTAATCCATTATTTCATAATTAAGCTTCAAATTGATTACTATACTATTAATGTTGGCATTTAATCTGGGTCACATACATTTGAAACAGGTTATAACAAGGACTCTGCCTTTTATTTTATTTTATTTTTTTAAATATATTTTATTGATTTTTTACAGAGAGGAAGGGAGAGAGATAGAGAGCTAGAAACGTCGATCAAAGAGAAACATCGACCAGCTGCCTCTTGCACACCCTCTACTGGGGATTTGCCCGCAACCAATGTACATGCCCTTGACTGGAATCGAACCTGGGACCTTTCAGTCCGCAGACCGACGCTCTACCACTGAGCCAAACCAGTTTCGGCTATTTTATTTTTTAAAAAATATATTTTTACTAGAGACCCGGTGCACGAAATTCATGCAAGTGTAGGCCTTCTTCCCCCAGCAGCTGGCACCAACTCCCCTCTTTATGCGTATTTAGAGAGAGACAGAGCATCAGCAGGCCACTACTTTTTAAAAAACTATAATATGAACAATATATTTAAATTATATATGCTAAATTATAAAATAACAGAATTGAAAAGTAACTGGTATGACTCACTGGCTTAGCATCAACCTATCAACCATTAGGTCACAATTTGATTCCCTGTCAGGGCATATGCCAGAGTTTTGGCCTCCCCAGTAGGGGGCGTGCAGGAGGCAGCCGATCAATGATTCTCATCATTGATGTTTCTCATCATTGATGTTTCTCTGTCATCATTAATGTTTCTTTCTCTTTCCCTCTCCTTTCCTCTCTCTGAAATCAATAAAAACCATTTTAAAAAGAGAGACAGAGCTCTAACTGATTTGACTCAGTGGATAGAGCCTGCCAACTAAAGGGTCCCACGTTCAATTCCAGTCAAGAGCATGTACTTTAGTTGTGGGTACATCCCCAGTAGGGGTTGTGCAGGAGGCAGCTGATCGATTTTTCTAACTCTCTATCCCTCTCCCTTCCTCTCTGTAAAAAAAGCAATTGAAAATATATTTGAGAGAGAGAGAGAGAGAAAGAGAAAGGGAGGGAGGGAGGGAGGGAGGGAGGGAGGGAGAGAGAGAGAGAGAGATATGCAGTTAAGGGCTGCATAACTAAGGTAGAACTCAGTTTTTTATTTTAGTCCTTCTTCCTCTAAAATTGGATCCTCATCTTTGCCATTTCCCACTTAGAATATGGAAGGAAAGATTCTGTCTTGGCATGTATGTTTGAAGTTGTGATTCTACATGCATATGCTGGTGGCATTACTTTTCTTTCTTTGAATAATTAGGGAATATTTATTTGGCTACTAACTCACTGCATTGAACACTCTACTGGCCCCATTTTCAGCAGCACCCTGGCAACCAGCATTCCTTTCTACTTACACTAGCAGTTTGTTCTGGAGATGCTATGGGGCAAAAAGTACACAATGAACCTCGCTATCCATCATCATCAGCTCTTCACCCTAACTTGTACATTTCCCCTGTGCTTAGTTTCATAGGGCTTCTACAACAAATTACCACAGTGGCTTTATTCTCTTACAACAAAACTTTATTCTCTTACAGTTCTGGAAACTAGGAGACCCAAGCAAGGTGTCAGCACAGTCCTTCTCCCTCTAAAGCAGCGCTCGCCAACTGGTGGTCCGCGGACCACTGGTGGTCTGTGAGATCCAAAAGGTTGGCAACTGCTGCTCTAAAGGCTGGCCCTCTAAAGGCTCTAGGGAAGAATGCTTGTCTTTTTCTAGCTTCTGGTAGCTTCTAGCAGTCCTTGGTGTTCCTTGGCTTGTGGCAGCATAACTCCAATCCCTGCTTCTGTCAACACATGGTCTTCTTCCTTGTCTTCTCTTCTTGTAAGGACACCTGTCATTGGATGAAGAGCCTATCCTGATCCAATGTGACTTCATCTTAACATTGATCTTATTTCCAAATAAGGCCACATCCGGAAGTTCCTGACAGACATTA